TATATATATATATATATATATATATATATATATATATATATATATACATGAATTATTATTATTTTAGGCGCAGATGCTCCTCTGAGATCCAGTTTGCGAACATGGTTGAAAGAGAATCCAACTTTTGAAATAGTCGAAGCTAATAATATTAATACACTTCAAATAGGCGGAAAGCTCGTCACGCAGATCCAAACATCTGGAAAAACTGTATGTGTTCAATATAATTCAATAAAAGTCTAAGTTAATTAAAATTGTACAAGATGTTATGAAAAAGAAATTCAGGATTTATAGATAGTAACACTAGAAATAAGAAATGTTTAATGAAACAGTTTGAAAAATCAATTCTCAGAATTAGATTTTTAGTTGATATAAAGCAAATGATTTGCTTTTATTTATCGACAGATATACGATAGATGATATTGTGAAAACAAAATTATCTTACACAACTCTGATGTTTACGGAAAATATTTTACGTTTTACACTTTTCTTCCATTTCCACACACATTTTTTAACAAAGAATTGTCTCTGCGTTAGATGAAAGTAAGTTAGTCATTCGTCTCTGCGATCAGTGATTATGCACTTATTTGGCATTTAGGATTACCTAGACTGAATTTAATAATATCAGTTATTCATTTATCAAGAATATAATCAAGAAATAGCAGAGATACATTTTATGTGGTCGTGCTAATGTAGATGCAGCCACATGATATTTCTATGCCGAAAAGTTGTCAAGTCGGGAATTTTCTTCTTATATTGCATTAAAATTTTCATCTGTCTTTTTATTTTCATATTGCATACGATAAATAGAAGCAAGCAAATCACTTGCTTTACAAACTCGATAAAATTACTTGTAACTCTGATGGTTGTTTTTTTTTATTATTAGTTATTTTTACTCAACTTAATGAGTACTCTATCAAGTACAGTGTTCTAATCCTCTCTTCATAACAGCTGATATTTTTACTTATACAAAAATATAGGTAAAAAACATGTAAAAGGTTTAAAATTTTTGGATTATGTAGAAATTTCTATAAGACATCTTTACAAGAAATTAACAGAAAGATATGTGAACTGTTTTCAGGCAAAACTTACGCAGCTATCCCCAGTTAAAGTGCAAAGTATGCCCAAGATGATCTATACGAAAGTAGCTGGATCAAAACAAACTGTTTTAGCACCCAACAAGAAAATTACAATAATTCCCGCTATGCAACAACAAGCGAGTGTATCGTCGGGTAATAAACCGACACAACTGAAACAAACGATAATCACCACAACGCCAGGAAAGAGCCCTGTAATATCAAAGACGTCGAAGAGCGTCACGCAGTCGCAATTGAAAACCCAGGCAGCAGGCTCACCGAAGCAAACGCCGATTAAGAAGCAAGAAGCAAAGCCATCACCGTCCCAACTGAAGCAACAAACTAAATTAACACTGGCAAAAAAGCCAGAAACGGAACCCATACGAGTAAATATCCGAAAAACGCTGACAGAATTACTATCCAGCCGTATAAAGGAAACTGCAGATCTGAAACTAACCGACGAGGAGATCGCTGACTTGGCTTTCAATATAGAACTCGAAATGTACAAGTATTTTAAGGACACCGGTTCTAAATACAAAGCGAAGTACAGAAGTCTTGTGTTCAACATAAAGGACACCAAGAATCTGACATTGTTTAGGAAAATCGCGGATCGCTCATTAACACCGGATGCAGTAGTGCGATTAAGTCCGGATGAGATGGCCAGTCAGGAATTAGCTGAATGGCGCGAAAAGGAGACCAAACATCAGCTGGAAATGATAAAGAAGAACGAACTGGATTTGATGGCTCAGGCCAAGTCGATAGTCGTGAAGACTCACAAGGGTGAACAAATAATCGAGAATGACGGTGGAATAGATCACGTTGATCCTAAAACGCCGGTGCAGGATATCGTTTCCGCATTAAATAACGGTGACAACATAAGTTCCACGGTTGACGATCTGGAAAAGAATAAGGATAAGGACGATAGATTAAGGGCACAAGTGGAAACAAAAAAATCCAAGAATACTGATGAACGAAAGAGAAAGGACAAGGAGAGAGGAAGAGAGCGCGACAGTGCACAGTCTAAGAATAAGGATCGACGGGAGAGAAGTCGCAGTCGACATCATCATAGTCGTGATCGGGATCATAGCAAGACCCGAGACAAGAGTAAAGAGCGAAAGTTAAACAGGAATAAAGAGAGCAGGCGCGATAAGGACAGAGAGCGAGAGAAGGATAAAGATCGAGATCGGAACAAAGATCGCGACAAGGCGAGCAGAAAGGAGAGCAGGGAGAGAGATCGACAGAAGGAGAAGGACAGGCATAAAAATAACGATGGTCGTTCGAGAAATCGTAGTGGGAGTAGAGAATCGAAGGACGTTGATAAACGAGAAGAGGAACGTAAAAGGGAAATGGAGAAGAAGAAGGAAACCTCGCCACCACCTACGGAAAAGCCGATAGAGGACCGCCTCTGGCGACATATAGAAGATGAGGCGACAACGAATACGATCGATGGGAACGATTCTGACATATCGGATAGAGAACCTAGTTCTACTGTCACGATCAAAACGCCCGATATAAACGAGGAAGCCGAGAGAGACAAAGAACAGGTGACGGACAAGGAAACGTCGGCGACGAAGGGCAGTTGGCAGACCGTCTGGCGCGGCTTCGTCAACATGGTTGACGTCGCCAAGTTTTTCATAACTGCGCAGGAAGTAAGTGGCAACGCCAAGGATCTTATGGACGATTTACCGGATACTGTCGACGTTGTGGGTAGGATCAGTCACGAGACCGTTTGGGACTATATTTCGAAGATGAAGAGGAGCGGCTCGAAGGAGATTCTAGTCATCAGATTAACGGCTGCCAATGACGAAGAGAAGATTCCTTATATAACTCTGTATAGCTACCTGAACAGCAGAAGTCGTTTAGGCGTTGTAGGCAATGTTTCGAAAAACATCAAGGACTTTTACATAATGCCATTTTCGAGTCAGAGTACAATACCGCCGGTCCTAATGCCACTTACTGGATCCGGGTTCGAGGAGCACCGGCCGCATCTACTTCTCGGCATTATAGTGCGTAATAAGAAGAAACGGTTGTCGATTGTGCCGCCGATACCTTCGAAAACATTGAAGACGTCCGACAGAAGTTATACTCCGCCATTGGTCAGCGTGCCAAAGGAGAAGACGTTGCCGTCACCGTCCTCGTCTCCCATGTTGTACAAAGCAACCGCTTTAGACTCGACGAAGGAGAAAGTGGCGGCGACAGCAGCAGCGGTGACGCAGATGACCCTGGAATCTTTGAACAAGGCGCACATAGGTATGTCGCGCGGCGTTATAGACACCGCGACGATATGTAAAATCGTACCGGAATTGTCGTCCAAGATCGTCGACCTGACCTCGTCGCCTGATAAAGTCACGTTGGACGATGACGGAGACGAACCGTACAGCCCTGGCGAGATGGATGATGATATAAACACGCTACAGACCACTGACAGTACCACTGGCATCTTGTCTTCATCCAACAAGAACCCCACGGAGTTACAGAGGAAGATGGACGAGCTGAATCGGCAAATTGAAGAACAGAAGCAACAGATTGAGGAACAGAGGCAACAGATACAGAGCATTAGCTCGTCGTTTCTCGACGAAGCAACGCCCACTTTACCGGTGAGAATCTTTATTAGGCTCATTTTTCTCGATTGTTGTTATCATGTTGTTACGATACTTTTTGTTCGCCTTGTACAAATAAAATTGATTTTGAATTCTACCGCACACATCCCAATCCCATCTCCCGAGCTGCTCTAGATTCTTACTTCTGAGGGAACTCGATCGAACGAGTGTTTTATCGTTAGAGATCATTGAAATCGCTCGCTGATCAAATGTGAGAAATTGAAAGTTTATCATTTAACAGCGAGTGTAAAATAATTGAGTCATTCCCCTTTTTTTCATTATATTAATTCACAATATAACGGCTGCGTATCGTCGCGAGCGATAATATCAAAAGCTAGCGATTGTTAGGATCTCTAATATTCTGCATTAGAGACGTAGACATATGTGACGTTTTAAAGTGGTCAAGTCGATCATTCGGCATGTTCGCTGGAAGTAGAAATCTGTCAGTAGCTCTGTACCCTCTTTCGTGTATCCTTATTTGAATGATGGTTTTAAAAAAATTTGTAGAATGTAAAAATAGATTCATTCGATAAGTTTTGAAGCCGTAATGTGAGTTTACGCGTTAATTTTCCTCTTATTTGTCAAGTAATTTCGATCGATGAAATATAGAGAGATTTTTTAGAACTACATTCGTGTTTCCATTAATCGCGCGTATCTTTGACGATCAATCGTGAGCATTATCTGCCTTCATCGGTATCTCTTGTATCTTATATCTGTACTTTTGCATCTTTATCTTTACGATTATTTCAGGGTTTAGGACTAGATCCGCCAACCGACGACTGCGAGGAGGCTTACAGCCCATCAAACGCTCGGTCTTTCACGCCTCCGCCGCCTATTTCCAAGTTTGCACAACCTATCCTCGATAAAGTCTCGGACATTACCATACCGCCGAATTTACAGGAGATCTTGGCGAACGTAAAGCGGCAAGAGTCTTCTAAAGTGGATCCTTATCTTCCGTCTAAACCCAGCGCGTCGTTCTTACCTGCGCTCTACCAGAATCCGGAGAGGTATTCGCCCTCATCCTCTTCCAGGATTAGTCAGTTGGAACAGAAAACGCTGTTGGAAGTTCCCAAGGAGAGCAAAGGCACATTGAGTAGTTTGAGCGATCTGGATCTGATCCGAAAGGCTGAAGAAGAGTTGGCCGCAGTCGCGGCGGCGACGACGGCGGTGACGACAGCATCAGTGACGTCCGTAGTGCCGGCGCCGCCACCATCCTCCTCTTCCTCCTCATCCTCATCGTCATCATCGTCATCATCCTTACTCGTCTTAACGCCGCCGCCTATCGTCTCCGTAAATGACGCACCGATATCGCCACCGCTTCACTCGTCACTCTCACTTTCCACGGAGCTTGCGTTGGAGGCGAACAAATCGTTCAAGTCGAGTCCTTCGGATTCTTTCAAGAAGAGCTTCACTCCCGAACAACCAAAGCCACCCGGTCTCGAGGATGAAGATTTTCCCATTTTCCCATCGACTCCGCCAACTGTAGACGCCTCCGAAGTGGCGAGCGCATCCTCAAAAGTTTCACCCAAGAGCGGCATCGTGCTGAATGTCAAACGGAAGGTAAACGATAACGATAGCTCGCCGTCGCCCACTAGGTTACCGAGGACAAAATCGCGCTGGGGTCAAAGACCGTCCGAGTAAGACAACCCTGCGCGACTTGCTATTTGGGGTACGATGACCCTCCGATATGTAAGAACACACTTTCTACGTGCATTATCCAGTGAACGTTTGTTGTGTACAAAGTGAAATTGTGTTTCCTTTGCGCAAGGAGAAAAGGATCCAACGAATCGGAGCGATAAACTAGTAAAAAAGCCTTGCTGTAACTTGTAACATAAATGTACAAGGCGTTATTTCTTTCCATTGTCTGACTCTGCGTGTGCGCGTCAACGGGACTGTAATCTCGTATAGAATGAATGAAAAAGAAATATATGTACGCAAAGTCGCCAGCATGAGAGAGAATGAGAGTGAAAGGATGGTATTGTAAACATGAGATCTAGCGTGCTTGACAGTAGCGAATCGTCGTATGCATTTCCGCATTTCTAAATGTTTGTCAAAATAAGGTTGAGAAAGACACTGTATATTTTCAGTCAGAGTATCGAATGTAGATGCAGAAAAGGTTTCTTTACTATCAAGATTGCTTACGTTCTTAAGAAAGAAACAGGGATATGATGTCACAACGGTGTGCATTTCATTGATCAGAGTTTTGTCCGCGAGGAAACCTAGACGATTGTACCCTTCTTCCACAATTCTCTATCCGCCGTTTCCCACGTCTGTCACTAAAACAAATTCTCCACAAATTTACTCACGAGAAGAAGAGCGTATCTTCCACAGATTATTGACGACGTTTTTCATGTGTCAACGAGAAGAATGCAGAGACAGTTTTGAGAGGTATTCAGATAAGGCGAGTATCTATCGTTCGTGTTGAAGCTAATGATATATAACGATATATAAACGCGAGACTAGGACTGCGTTCTGATATTTACTACCAGTATTGAAAATATATAGTTTACGTCACGTGTATTATAGATTTTTGATACTGGCAGTGGATATTGGAACGCAGCCTAACTCTATTGATGACGCCGACGTATTCGCAGTTGTCCACAGCTCAATGGTATCACCGTGGAAGGTGTGAGTTGGTGTGAGTTACGATCGACGTATAAATCCGTGACGGATATACTCCAAAAGTACTGTCCTTGTAAATACCAAAACGAAAAAGTAGACGAAACTCGGCGACTGTTATCGTGTCGCTCTTGTATATGATATACGCAGTTTCTGCGCGTGATGAGTACGTTTACGTAAATATATACATATAACCAAGTACTGCAAAACAAGTTTCTGTAATATATTTTATTGAAGATTTCACCCAGTCGTCAAAGGTAGCTGTGGCTTTCTCGCATAAGGTTGAATACACAGAGGTATCCTCAAGATCCGAATACTGTTTCATTTTGTCTCTGAAGAGATCGACAGAGCTGATTTTCGAGAAATTGCAATTGAAAAAAAATATATATAATAATCATATATAATATATATATATATATATATATATTTAACGTTTTAATGTATTTTTAAGTACATATTAACATAAGATAGTCATGAAATTGAAAATAATTTGACCATGATGAAACCATTGTGTTTAAATTATTTCCTTTGTAGATAAAAACTTGTCGAAAACAGTTCAATTATTGTCATGATTGAATTATCCTTGATATGATCAAAGTACTCCTGATTGAGAATGGTGAAGAGTGTCTTCAATTGCGACATTTACCATTGGAAAAGCGGCACCATAAGCCTTGCGGTATGAAAACGCAGATGTGTTTTAAGATTCTGTACTTTAAGCAAGCAGTGATGTATATAATTCGCACAATGTTGCTCTAACCAAAAATGCTGATTGCGCGCGCGCGCACGCACGCACACACACACACACACACATATGGGGCATTCCATGCCAAATCGACCTGGATTTGACCCTCGACCTCTCGGATTTGGTCGGCGATTTTTTATGTTATTGTTCTAACTCTAAAATGCACTCAGAATTTTTTTTACATTTTTTTTAAATAAAATTAATTTAGTTATAATTTGTTAAACAGACATATTGATGGCCACAATTTAAAAATGTGAAAAAATTATCAAAAATCCTATCAGATATCAAAATTTTTAAGCCTTGACCCAAAGTGAGCCGGCGTTCGCTTCTAATTTCTTCGAGCTTTTTTCGAAAAAAATATTGAAAAAAATTAGAAGCAGACGTCAGTCTACTGTAGGCTGTTGCTTGAACATTTTTGTATATAACACAGGATTTTTGAGAATTTTTTCATATTTTTCTGACGCAATTTTTTTTATTTTGGAAAATTGTTTCAAAAAGATTGGTTAGGTGATGGTCCAAAATTTACTCGATTTTTATGAAAATCAATATCTGGGGATTTTTCAGGTCGCTTTTGAAGAATCCGTAATCAGAATCTGAAAAATCAAAACGGCGAATCCAATATGGCGGCTGTAATAAATGAAAAATTGACTGGAATGGTTAGATTATTAATCATGTTAAAAATTAACTTTTTGAATAGTATTTATTGATTTTATTGATCAAAAAAAGAAATTATTAACAGATAATAAAATTAATTTTTTTCCCATGAAAATAGGTATGTGGGGGTTTTCCAAGTCGATGATTTAGTTTGTAATTCTTTAAATATATAAATATATATACTTTTTTTTTTTCTTTTTTTTACAATAAAAATGTAGAATAACGATAAAAATAAAAATGAAAAATATTTAAAAAATTGAAAACTAAATCACCAGCAACCTGAAAAACCCCCACATACATATTTTCATGGAGAAAAAATTAATTTTATTGCCTGTTAGTAATTTTTTTTTGTTTATCAACAAATACTATTCAAAAAAATTTTTTTTGGACATGATTAATAATCTTACAATTAGTGTTCCAGTCAATTTTTCATGTCTTACAGCCGTTATATTGGATCCGCCATTTTGATTTTTCAGATTCTGACTACGGATTCTTCATAGGATTCAGGTCATAAGCGACCTAAAAAACCTCCAGATACTGATTTTCATGGAAATTAAATGAATTTTGGACCACCTGACCAATAATTATGTTTTTAATAAAAGTTTTTTATCTATTCCAGCCGCCATATTAAAGCAGTTATTTTAAATTTTTCAAAAGGCCACGTTTTTTCTTAAACTACACATAAAAACGAAAATTTTAAGCCATCGAACGTCATGTTTCGAATTAATTTTACCCAGACACTTGTCCCACTTGACGTGGAACGCGTGTATGTGTATATAATATATTATGGCTGCATTCTAATATTCCCTGTCAGTACTGAAACTCTATATTTTTCTATATTTTACATTACGTTACGTATGCTATAGATATTCAGTACTGACAGTTGCTGACAGTAAATATAATCGGAATCCAGCCAAAATATACTAACAATAAGTAGCTGTAAGTTTATCTTACATCTTATCGTCTTTCTCTTCCATAATACGACAACTCTAGTTATTGGGATCGATAATATAATACATTCGAAGCATTTAATTTTGTATATGAGATGAACACGTCGTTAAAATGCATACGATGTAACATATCGCGGTCTTGATTCAGTTAACTCAACTTTTAGCGATTTTTAAGAATTATTGGTATGATAAACATTGATGTGACATGTACATTTATATTGTAAAATTCTGAATTACTACGTATCCTTTGAGGCTATTTACTTCCAAGTCCCGATATGTCTGAAAGAGATTTATTAGGGGAATATCGTTGTAAGAAATTTTCATATGACATAACGATATCGAGATGTAAGTAAATATTTTGTCTTCTTTTTTATTTTTGCAAGTTTGCAAGTTTCCTTCATTACGAAAAGACAAAGATGTATACTTTTATATCCTTATATGTGTTCTTATCTGTTCTTATCAGTTTCTTCTATCCTCTTGCTGAATATATAGCAGAACACGAATATGACGTGGGTTGTGTACATACATAGACCTACAAAAAGGCAAATGTACGTCTCGAATTTATGTACGATAATTTGAATAGCTCGAATACTGGGAATGGTATTACGCAAAATAGCTACGAACACATTTGTTTCAATCACACCCACAATCACACTTTCCTTTTTTTTTTAAATAATGTAGAAGAGCGTAGAAATTTGTAGTTTTATTTGTAGACCATCAGGCTATGATACTACTGAGCTACTTTAGCAGTTTAACTTTAAATGCGACTAAAAAGCGCCATTATATAATACAACGTATATTACATTTACAAGGATTACTATACGTTGTATACCTCGTCTATATTTAACAATTACTTTATAAGGAAATTAGCTGTCTTATTTTATTGTACACTTTTGTACCGCGATCTTCAGCTGATATGGCACTTCTTCATTACATATTATGTATCTCGTCATTATTAATATTAATCTTAATTATAAAGGAGATTATACATGCGATTATTGATTTGTTTAATCATTGTCTCTCCTTGCGCTTGAGTTATAGCATTCATTATATATAGCTATGCGTTATGTTTATATATGTCAAAATATGTTTATATTCATCACCGAATGTATCCTGAAATACGGATACGCAGAAAATTTATAACAATTTTATAATTTTATGGCTAAATCTAATAGAGACGAATCGTATTAGTATTTACTAATAAATATCTGTAATAAAAGAATGAGAAATAATATCAGTTTTCGATAGATTCCGATCGTATCACAGATTAGTTATTCAGTAATTTTCTTAGTATTCCTGAAATTATTCTGAAGAAAAAAAGTATGCTAATACGTTAATGGTTATTAATTGTGCCCCGAAAAAAGTATACAGAGTGTTAAGAAAAAATGAGAGAATAAATGTTGAAAAGTAAGCATAATCCTCAGAAAGCGAAAAAAATGTTTAATCGACATATGCAGTATCGACATATGCTCGAAAATCTACATTTTCAGTATAAAATGCGACTTTGGTTCCAGTAATGCAAGTTGTTTTCTTTCACTTATGTTTTATGTCAAAATAATAAAGATCACAATAATTATTTACATAAAATCTTCTTTATTATTTTATTTATTTTTATAAGATATGTTTGATGTCTTTCTTGCATATTTATATTTTTGGAACATTTACATACATTGACATAAATATTTGTAGTTTGTTTTGATGTGCATTTTCTATTAATCGTTAATTTACTTAATATTATCCGCTATACTACATTACATTTATTATATTACATTAATTACATTTATTATATACTATATATACATAGTCAACATAGTACATGATAGTCGTGTTTTAAATTTTGTGAGAAAAAGATTTATATTTTATAACTAACAAGAAAAAAAGCAACATGAAATGTATACATATTTTCTTAAATTGATCAATTGTAATATAAAAATATAATCATCATACTATTAAACTATGTTTACTTTTTGCTTTCACAAATTTCTTCAAATGGTCAGAATTTAAACTCTCGTAGCATGCAAAACCTCAATGAATATCGACGTGGCCTTCACCAAATCAATCTTTAGAACCCTGATATTTTAGTGAGATTTAGAACAAGTTCTTTCCTCTAACATTTAGACGAAAAGACTTTTTTTAAGTCTCATGGAAATATCGAGGCTTTGAAGGCTGATCTAGTGAAAGCATTGCAGTAGCGTTGAGATCTTGCGTGCTGTGAGAATTTGAAGCTCAACATTTGAAGAAATTTGTGAAGTCAAAAGATGAACATTTTTAATAGTTATGATTATTTTTATATTATGATTGGTCAATTTAATAAAATATGTATAGGGTAGACCGGGGCACGTTGTCACACATTTGGTTCAATATTTTTTGTATTTTTTACATTCAATATTTAAGAGTACTTTGATATGCCAAAATTTCGAGTGAACCCTCAGCTTCAATTGGACAGTATCGAATTTTGTGTGATTGTTACTCTACAGTTGTTACATAACAATAAATAACGACAGGTCGCTTGTGACAACGTGCCCCGGTCACGGTTCACATCAAATGTAATTGCATGCAAAATGTTATCCAAACTGTATTCAACGTAAATATCAATATATTATAGTGCGATGCAATGTAAAAAAGTAAAATCCTTCACAGAAACATTTATTTTATTTCAAAAAAATTCAAAAAGCACGAAGTTTTCGTCTTAGGCTGCGTTCCTTTTGACGCTTTCAGCGCTGAAAGCGTCGCTCCATCTCTATTTGATATTCAATGTGCAACGGAGATAGAATAATTCTTACAGCGCTGAAAGCATCAAAAGGAACGCAGCCATAATCTAAATACAAGAATTCCACTCGAATGCGCAACTTATTGATACACATTTTTTCTTTTATAATCATGTCGGTGATTAAACATAAAATATTTTTACTCGTTATCGTCATCCGAAGTTTCGCAATAGATTCCCATCAAATTCGTGACAACGTGCCCCGAGGGCATTTTTTTACTTCAAACAGCCTCATGGCCGACACGTTTGAGATATTCATAAGGTTAGGTATTGCACGCGGTAGGTAAAAGTACTCACTTTAAGATAATATAAAGGTCTATTCTGAAAAAACATAAGCTTCATGTCCAGTAACGTTGAATATTAGACAATAAAATTTTACTTACGGTCGCAAAAAACTTTCAAGTTGATTTTACGTCAACACGGCTGGAGCAATCTCAACACTGTAAACACACCAAAGATGGGCATACACTAACACGTTTTGGGAATGACGGGTGCTGCCCTGTGGTTATTAGTTTTTTAAATAAAGCCGATGTGACAACGTGCCCCGGTCTACCCTACATTTTGCTACTTTTTATTTTAGTTTAAAGTAAATCCATTTTTCTTAGAAACAAAATTTGTGGATTGACAGCGAATTCAGGCGCTTGCACTAGCGCACACTTGTGCGTATGTACTACAGTCCCACGTAGAGAAAAAGCGGAACGGAAAGCAAGCACAGTAGGGGGGGGAGGGTAACTAATCAGAACGTTTCTCCAAATATCCGTTCCGATTTTATATGACCGCCGGGTTCCCCATGTACCAGGAAAAACGGAAATACGTAAATATTAAAAATCATTTTTTACTAATTATACTTCACAAAAATAATTAATATATTATAAGATATATTAATATTATAAGATAATATATGTCTATTACTACGTTTACGCGAGCGTTACTTCTGTAGTAATTAGGTTACAAATTTTTCCGTTTCTTTTCCGTTCCGTAACAGCTCTGTCTCCGTGCCATGGGGAACCCCCTCACTATAACACGGGACAGAATTGAAACGGAACTACTCTTTAAGGTGTATGAGTTAAGGTCTATCCAGACAAACTTGCATAGGTGCATAACCATATGCATAAAGAAACGGATTGGTCGAATCTATTTTCTTATGCACATGCATATGGACCAATCAATTCTCTTATGCTTATGTTTATGCGCTATGCAAGTTTGTCTGGATTGACCTTTAAGCTTTAAGTCGTAATTTGTGACGTCATTTCCCTTAAGGTTTTTACGCCCTTCCTTTAGCTCTAATCTTAAATCCTCAAACGATTTAGCGAAATTTCATTTCTGAACGGTTACAAACTTACGGCTTACAATCGATCGCGCAATGTGAAATTAGAAGCTGGTGTACGCAATGTCAAAATATTAACGGGTTTACACTATGGAACCGAACGCCGATATTCAGGATATTGATATCATTGAGACATCACAGGAATATATCAATGATGAAATTCTAATTTTTCTTGTGAGAGAAAATTCAGTGCTATATATGAAAACACAAAAAGATTACCAGAATAAGGAACTGAAACTTGATATATGGTAAAGTATTGGGGAGACGCTTGGCTGCACAGGTTAGTATTAAAAATAATAAATAAATTAATTTAAAAAATTAAAAATGATTAAAAATTAAAAAAAGCAAAGTAGTAGAAGTTTGTTAATAGCAAACTTCTATTTTAAACTTGGTGACATTAGGTGAGCAAGCAGAAGGGCGTTGGAATTAATACTCTTCGCAATACATTCACCAAGAAGCTACGGGAAAAGAAGACAGGTCAACCCAGTGGTTCAGGATCTAAAATGACAAAAATTTGGATTTACTTTAAACAAATGTCTTTCCTGACACCGCACATTGCACATAGAATGTAAAAGTACATAGTTATCTTTGGAGAATACTTTATTGTTTTGATAAAATATCAATATTTTTGCTGCAATCATGTCGCGCAGCTCTATAGCAGATTCCCAGCAAGAAAAAAGTATGACATCACAAAGTATTATGGGGTCGTCGCTAGTCACCAAAGACATTACAGTAAAGACAATGTCAAGTTTATCAAATAATGTATTGAGTTTAATGAATGTGCCGATATGCTCTGATGATAGCATTAGCAGTTCTTTATGTGATGAGTCCTTATTATCAGCAAATATTGCTACCTTAGACCAGCAATCTCCTGTTACCTCGAAAGATTGTGTGGACGATGTAACTGATTTGAATAATAGAGTGCAAAAGGAGATAGCTGCTGACGTTATTGTTACTGAGGCCATGGGCATTGCAATCCAGAAGAAGAAAGTGGTGCCAGCTCCAGATCGATTTGCAGTAAAAAAGCAGAAGACAACGAAAACAGTCGAGAATGTATTATGCCAGCCTTCTCATGCCTTTGATGTAATGGCAACGGCATATTTGCAGCGTAATTCTACTGCTCAGCAGCAGCAGCAGTCGCAGCAGCAGCACCCGTATATCACAGCAATAGCTGAAGCAATGAAACAAGTACCAGATGAAAAGCAATTGACTTGTTTCATGTCGATCATGCAAGTAATTTCAATTTGCTTACATGATAAGCAATTGCCAGGCAACTGAGATATCTCAGGTATTAATAAATTGTTTAATTGATAATTGATTAATTGTTTTATTTTTTATTTTATTTCATATAAGTGCTGTAAAACTCTTTTAGTTTTTGACTGATTAAATAACATGCCAAAGATTATTAGATAATACTTAACATTTATTTACGTTAAACACTGAAATGTATAAATATGTCTTGTACAATAAAATTAATGTGAGTAAAATTAAATTTATTTGACCGTAATGTAGTAAATGCAAAATTAAATTTTTTACACAAACTTAGCACAATACGATTTAACAATTAGGGAACATTTATTATGCGCCCCCTGTTTACAATTTTTCATTGCCAAGAAACTTGTCCTTGATTTGAGATGAGATATTCTTGTTGTTTTATTGCAATTGTGGCAGCACGATTAGATCCCACTCGAAAATCTACGATAGTCTTGATAGTCCCAAATAGTCTACGTAACCAGGTGGACAGTATGATTGGAATCCAACACGATGTTCTTCTCTTTTCATGATAAAGTTGTGTAAACAGACTATAGCACAAATTATAGCCTCTACATTATCTGGATATAGAGCCAATAATATGGTTCTTAGCACGCTCTATCTAATATAAAAATATCTGCCGTTACGTACATTGATTTCATTACCCTGTACTCACAAAGTAATGATGGGTTACTAATGTTGAGTTTTGCAATGCCTTTGGTTGTGGCAGATCTAATTCATCACGTTCCAGAGCTTGTCCAAATGCCGATGCACTGAGGATACTTTGTGTCTAACAGTGATCCTGAAGGGAAACATGATATATCATATTCATTGTGTATGCATATTTAAAAATTTGCTATTATTGGTCTCAAATTGTACACAATATTAAATGATAAGTTCTCATCATAATCTCCGATATCTACAAAGGTAAATACATAATTTGCATCACACGTGACTAGCAATACCATACTGTAATATCTTTTGTAGTTATAGTATGCTAAACCGGAGTTGGGTTGACACTGCACACGGATGTGCTTTCCATCAAAAGCCCCAACACAGTTGGGGAAATTCCATCGATCACAAAAGTCTTGTTCAATATTTTTTCACTCCTCTTGAGAAGAATGTTTTAAGTTTTAAATATATTCTTCGAAAGCAATGCCAGATAACATTACACGTTTCTGTCACCACGTTATAAGATGTTGACCTGCCTATGCGCCAGAACCTGGCCATTGAGGCAAAACTGTCTCCTGATGCTAGAAAGCTGTGAAAAGTGCAAACATGCAATTTAATAAAAGATAGATAGAATGTATGTAAGTATTTGAAAGGTACATCTAAAAGTACCACACTGTAAATGCTAGAAATCTGCTTTTCGTCTCGCAGGGGGTCTGCTTATATATACGCGGCTGAATGTATTTTAAATGAGAGAAAGATGCGCCGCCTAGCGGCATTGTTAAAAGAACGTTTGCTGAACGGAAGGAAAACGCTTGTGTTACGGCGTTGGGAAAAGCGTTTGCTAAACGTTTGAAAAGTCTGACAGCAAACTCTCTGCACGAATGCGTTTCAGCGTCTACTGACCGTTCTCTGAAAAGCGTTGCCTCAGTATTCCAGAACTTTCATAAAACGTTATATACAGCGTTTTATAAGCGTTCTGGAAGCGTTCAAAACCCAACGGCGTTGTGTAAGCGTTTTTATAAAGTTTGAAAGCGTATAAACTCTCAAAAAATCCTCATTGAACGGTTGTCAACGCTTTATAAAGCTTCTTATTTTCGCCAGGGAAGCTTCCTCATAGAGGAACTTTGTGAGCAAAATAAAATAGGAGCAATTAATCGTAGCAATCTGTATATGATGAGGCAGCATTGTGCAAGTTTCTAATTTTTAATTCTGTTCTGCAAAAAAATCACACTTCAACGATAATCATTCTATAGTCAAGGATATCAGATATCCGCTTAAAAAAGATCATGTAAAATGAAAGAAAATGTCAACAATATTTTGTAGTATTTTTGTGCAACATTATTTTGTTAATAATACTAAGCAAAAAAATAAAATAAAACTTTATTTAAAAAACGGAATAAAAAAAACCATATGTATAATGCCATAAAAAAGAAGTGAAATCAAAATGTTATTCCAATGTATATTCCCAAGTTTTTTTTACAAGAAAAATTTATTTATTTTATTTTAATTAAATATTTTTATTTTGTATACTGTTACCTTTTAAATTCTTTGTGATTAAAACGATTCTTTGTAATATTATAATTTTGTTAAGGAGAATTAAAGCTACTACTTGGATTGGAATAGGAAGACCCTTGAATGGGAGCACGAAGATATGTACCACTTGGGTTTTATTTTTTAAAAGTAGTTGCATAACAATTATTTTTCAAAGCAATATATATATTTTCTTTGCAATTGGCGCAATTTAAAGATTTCATATATTTTTTAAAATAACATATCACTTAGGTTGAGTTAGGTAACGCAATTAATTTTGTTAAGGAGAAATAAAACTAGGTACTACCACTAGGTTAGATTTTTGGATTTACAAAATACATTGCGTGTACTTGGCGCTTTTTTTTATCTTTTTTAAAAAAGGTAATTTTGTACTGGTATCACGCATTTTGTCGTGTTAAGCAGGGAAACAAATTAAATTTTTATTAAATTAGCAAATTAGTAATTAATCACAAAAAATTATTAATTACGTAAAACGATAACGAAATAACATAATAACGATTGTGTGTATGAAAAAATTACCTAAAACCTTTTTTGTAGAAAATTTTCTTATTTTATTTTTCAAAATAGACGTTATATAGTCGTAAAATTAATAGAAACTTAGATATTAGCAAAAAAACCAATTTTTAACACCTTTTACGCGCTGAAAAATGTGCGTATGATCAAATGATGAGGAGTTTTGATATGTTATTTATAAAGACTAAATGAAAGTGCGTGCAAAAATTCAGCTCACTTGGAATTTTTCCGAAGATTGGTCGAATTTTTGCCTAAAGTTACTGGACTATTATGGGTACATGTACTTCTGAGAATTCAAATGATAATCTCTATAAAAACCTCTCGCTTTGTTCGCTTTATTTGAAAACATCAAAGAACACAAAAGGATCTAACTCTCACCGTACGCATACGCCCTATCATTGTGTATAAATATCCTCGTGATCAATTGGTATACTTACATTGATATACACATGCGCGCGTAGACGTATACACATATATATAGGCATTGTGTATATAGGTATGTGTATATGGCATTGAAGGGGGCGATCTATAGACAAAATGCGGGTCTGGCTAGATTCCAAAAAAATTATTCCTTAGGCAAAGGAGGATATTAAAAAAGGACCGATTTTCGCCCAAAAAGGTGTAAGTAAAAAGAATAGTGTTTTTTGTAGATTTTGATCTCCTGAATACGATAAAGCTATTAAAAGTTTGTAGCGCTTGGGGAACACCTTGAAAATTGAGCATAAAGTGGTGTACAGAAATTTGAATGATAATGATGATATATGCTACGTTATATCGCATGCTAGTCGTCGAAAAATTAACAAACAACTTCGATGATGCTTTGTCTTAGAGATCGGGGAAATAGTGTGGAGATCGGCAGTCACAGTCAGTCGAATCCGTCGAATCGAGTCACAGCGAACACTTGCGATATAACGTATCATCACACTTTGTACTGTACTAAATATACGTTTACAACATACGTACAATATTAAACACATTTTACATATTTTTTTATTTTTAAAAACATAAATTCATCTTTTATGCGATATAACGTAGCATATATTCCGAATTTCTGTAAATATACCACGTTTATGCTCAATTTTCAAGGTGTTCTCCAAGCGCCACGAACTTTTTAATAGCTTTATCGTATTCAGGAGATAAAAATCTACAAAAAACACTATTCCTTTTACTTACACCTTTTGGGCGAAAATCGGCCCTTTTTCTGTACCGTTCTTTTTCATAGTTACAATTACTTTTATTCACCTACATCTACAACAAAAATAGAACATCTTTTTGTGGAAATTAAGAAAAAGAATTTGCGTATAAGCAAAATTCGCAGAATTATGCACTCACATGTCTGACAAATATGTATATATACTGTGTATATGTATATATATATTTCATAGTAAATTTATTCAGGCGATACTTTGTTGATCTTGGTTCTTATCGATCTGGCTAAGTATTTATTAGTAGAACCCTCGCCTATTGATTGCCCTGAAAAAATAAGGTCAAATCGTTTAAAGGGTGCCAGATCAGCTTCCTAGATCCCATGAGATTCTCATAAATAATATTAAAGAGGATCTGCTTGTTTAAACCGTCATTATTTATCACCATTAATAAAATCCTGCATGCAAGTCCATATTGCAAGAGAATTTTGTAATCTGATAATGGAAGTAAAGATTTCCCTGTAAAATGTGTGAATAAATAAAAATTAATAATTTTAAAAAGTATTGTTTCTGCGAATATGAACATCTGACTTCCGGATTGATTAAGACTCTAATTTAATATTCTCAGAACTTGTCGTTTATCTCTTTTCTTTCTATTCTTTCTCGATGTAGCAATTCGAGATGTCGCCCGATTAAACACTGAATGTAAAATAGAAAGAAAGGTATTTTGACACTCTGTCTTAGTTGCAAATAAACAATAGGGGTATTCAAATAAGTTAGAGTTAAACGGTTTGACAGGTTATGTCGGGTTAAAGTCGAGTAAAAAGTTAAT